ATAATACTTATAGTTAACCAATGGGAAACCATATATAAATAATTCAAAAAAAAAAAAAAATCGCCCTTTTGATTCTTCAGATGTTTGCAGAGTTATGAATGCAATTATTTATTATTAATTTTTATAAATTTAATCTTTAACGGTTAAAAACTTTTTGAATTTAGTTACGCTAATTGAAACGTCATACTTTTTTTTTTTTTTTTATATATATATATATATATAAATATTATATGATTTTATCAAAGAATATTTATAACTTTCAGTGTATACTCTATTTTCTTATAAGTATTAAATACAAATAGAGTTTGACGTTTCAAATAATTAAAAAATTGAATTTACAACTCATTTAACTATATTAGAGGATCCCTTTATGAAAAGCTATATTAGAGGATCATATTTGTAAAATTTTAAAAAGATTAACAAAATTTGTAACTTGGCAATAATTAAGGATTTAAAAAGTATGATTTTTTTTCATAAATAATTATTTGAGAGAATCTGATCACGGAACATAATTAATTTGTTAGCCAACAACCTTTGCCTCATCCGTATATTCTTTTCTACATCCAAATTTTTAGTTTATATTTTCTGGAGGAATCACAAATTTTTAAAAATATAATTATAAGAATTTTAGAGTATTAGTGCAATGTACATTATAATGAAAGTATTAGAAAAACAGAAAAGTAGGACAGCTCAAAAGTTTGGGAAAAATGTGGAGATATATTGGATCAAGTCATCAAGAAATATACCAGGAATGATTTGACTAAAGATTATATTTAATATTTTATTCCCTTAATTTAAACTTAAAACTAATATAGGTTGTTGTACCACATAATTCTTTAGTTATCTAGTGTTGAGTGTTGACATTAATTAATTATTTAATCACATTTCTAAATTGTAAGTCAAATCGTTACGTCTCGAATTGAGCATGGACTGAATTCGGTCTCTACAGCGTCACATCTCGAATTGAGCAAAGACTGAACTTGGACTATTGACTTGTAACGACAATTATAGAAATGACATCTTTACTTTTTTTCAAAATAATAAAAATAACATTTAATTTTATTTTTAAAAATTGAAATACTATATATACTCCATGAGACTGATAGTGTCAAATTTGCAATGACTTGAAATAAGATTCGCATTGCAATGTGGACCATTGACATGCTATTTTTTAATATATTGAATGCTTATTTCTATAGTATTATGGGTTTATATTTAGTGTACTAGACATATTTATTTTTAATATATTATTTAAAAAAAAATTATAGTAGATTAAAAATAAACATTCAATATATTTTAAAAAAAATTTATCAGTTATCCACAATATAATTTGTTGCAAATTTTGCAATCCTTGTGATATCTACACAGGGATTGAGAAAAAATAAAATTAAAGAATAATATTAAAATAGATATGTCGGTTTATAATTTACACTCATTATGGCGGTCATAAGGGCGGGCGAGATGGGCACCTGCCATGACCCCAATGTTGGGAGGGCCCTTAACTTTTCTTTTTTCTTTTTTTTTTCTTTTTTTTTTTTTTTTAGATGAAGTTAAAGAAAAAAAAATGCTTGCATGTGCAAAGGTCAAAATTATTTATTAATTTTAAATCCACTTAACACTTACAACCATTTATAATTTACGTATTTCAGTTTATATATATATATATATATATATATATATATATATATAATAATAATAATAATAATAATAATAATAATAAGGCTCATATGCGGCAGTGGCTTTAGGTGCGGCGGCGCGGTCATATCAGCATCGTCCATTTTGCTTAATCTAACGGCAGCGGCTAATTTCTGAAGATTTAAAGATTTAAGCGCGTCCTGGTAAGTGGGGGGTGTTATGGTAATTGTAGTGGTCATTTATATCAGTCGCTTATCAGTATACACCAACAGTGTTAACAAAAGACACCAATAGTGTTAGAAAAAAGCACCACAATGAAATGCACAAATACACCAAAAAACACACAACACACCCAAAAAATACACCATCTAACTCACCACCCCAATGGTGTATTTCTGAATACTGTGTGATGCTTTTATTCATACCTAGTGGTGCGTTCTGGTGATGCGTATCTAATTTGTGCATGTTTTTTTGGTGTGCATTTTCTAACATGGATGGTGTATATTTGTATAACTATTAGTGCGGTCGCACTGACCGCTCGGGAAGGCACCAACACGAATTCTCAAATACACCACAATAAGGTTAATAATGCACCAATAACGAACATAAAACACACAACACTATGATTTGATCTATTCTGGTGCCCAATGACGACTTTAACCTTGCAGTTCGCGTAGTGTGAGAACGCGCGCGAAAATATCGAAAAAGCCTTGATGAATGTGATTCGTTGGATTTATCTAATCTAATGGCCTACAATTAACCGCACCGCCGCACCTAAGTGCACTGCCGCACTTGAACCTTCCTCTCTCTCTCTCTCTCTCTATATATATATATATATATATATATATATATATATATATATATATATATATATATATATATATATATATATATATATATATATATATATATCACCATGCACATGGTGCGCACGAATCTATATCCATAATTTCTATACTTAGATCCATAATTTCTATACTGTAGATTCATAATTTCTAGAATCTCGGTGAACTAAAATTTATACTTTAGATTCCAATTGTTGAACCATGTTTTCACCAATCAGTGCAGTATAGAAATGATGGATCTACTGTATTTAAATTATGGATCTTACGATTTTAGAAATTATGAATCTAAAGTATAAATTTTAGCTCACCGAGAGAGTCTAGAAATTATGGATCTATATTATAGAAATTATGGATATAGATTCGTGGACTCCATGCAAAGTGGGCACGTGCTCACAGCATAACGATTGTTTAACTTTATATATTAAGGATCGGCAAATTATGTTGTGGATCCAGGTCTACCTTGCAAGGTGGACCGAGTCCAAAACGGCGTCGTTTTGCTTCAAAACAACGTCGTCTAATTTTTTTTTGAAAAAAAATGCTTCCTTCCTTGCCATTAACTTGCCGTTTGTCTTCAGAATTCGTTCCTCTATATTCACAATTTTAGAACTGAATATTGACAATTTTAGATCTCAATATACAAAATCATAGAACTCAATATTCATAATTGCAGAACTTTATATTCACAATTTTTGAACTCTATATTCACAATTACATAACTGAATATTCACTCGCTGAGTTATTTTCAATAATTCAAAGAAAATCATTGGCTTAGGAAACGATGTCACTAACGGCACCGTTATTTTCACACGCAAAAATTGTATCGTTTTGGACCTGCAAAATAGACTCGAATCCATGACATAACAATTGTTAATGATCTTTAATTTTATGTTGTCCCGAGCATATAAAATAATAGGAAGACCTACCGGAACACTCATTATAGATGCACGTACGGATAGCCTCATAGCCTTGTGATGTTCATGATAAATTTTACTTGCCGAGCTAATTAAGGTAACTTCAATAATATTTAGAGAAACGTATGGAATAAGTCTTTTGTAGTGAACAAAAAAAAAATCTTGAAAGTAGATATTGTCAACCTAACAAACAATGCAAAACAGCTAGGATAAATCTTCCAACCATCCTTTCAAAAAAATATCTTCCAACCATAACCATGATACTCCAACTAAACATGCACTTATAAATTAGTAACCTTAATTATTGTAATCCTTAAGATTATTTAGTTTCTATAATCATTGAATTTTATATCACTTCTAAGGTTTCAAAATATATATGGGTAAAAGAAACAATAAAAAAAATACAACCAAACAACTACCCACTTTCCTCAATGTTAATCAAAAGATGGAATATTTTTCCCAATGAAATCAAATAGTCAACATGCAAAAATATATCAAAAAGTTAATTATAAAAGAACCACATTTGTCTAAGACCATCTTACAAGTCGAATTTAGAATAATTTATTGTTACTTATGATATAAATCATAATACTTATTACAAAAAATTTAATACCAATTTATCATATAATATTGTCATTTGATTATTAAAAGTGTGGTTCACTTTTTAATCTTTACATAAGTTTGAATGTGAAATATTTTCAACAATGTAATTATTAAACAAAAAGTGATGCATTTTAATAGAATTTATAAATATATACACATATCATACGCCATAGAGTGCCCAATAATTATAGAGCAACCTTAATAACATGATTTAATCGCGTAACAAAAGATAATAGCGCAGGCTGTGCAGCATGTGACATCTTTTCACCTAAGAAATAGCAAGGAAATTAAGAAGAAGAAGAAAAAAAAAAAGATATTTTAAAATTAAACGGAGTTATGTTCGAAATGGTGGCTGTTTTTTTTTTTTTCCTCTTACTTTTAAACAAATCTGAAGAAAAAGAAAAACAAGGAAAAAGAATTACATAAAATATGAATTTTTCATACCTGAAGGTAACTTATGACCCTAGTTGACTGATTCAAACTAAAAAGATCAATAGATCGTCTCCAATAAAAGTCGAACTTAAAATCTTATGATTGCTAAATTAATACTCCGTAGATTGATACTACTAAAAAAAAAAATATTAAAATAGTTCGATAAACTTAGTTAACGTTGTCGGTTTAAATTTGACTCTGATTTTAAATTAAATGATATATTTTACTTCAGTTAACGAATTAAATTAAAAATTAACTAAGGACCTTATGATCCAATAGTACCAAGTTGAACTCCCACATGTAAGGTTGTGGATTTGAGCTTCAGTGAAGGCGTTACTGACTCTCTCTACTTCAGTAAGTTAAGAAAGTAATTATGAATAAATACTACATTGTAATAAAGTTATTTATTAATATTTATATATAGTTATGCTCTAACGCAGGTGCTTTCGTCAACCCAAAAGGCAAATAAGCACTAATGTTAGTTTCCTTTAGTGGCCATACGGCTCAGTAGCCAACCGCCACGTATCACCTGGTAAGTGCTCACTACACACAGATAAATACCCATCCCCCTTCCACCTTCATTATCTCTCCATCCATTCATATCTCTCATCACACTCTTTTCTTTCTCTCATATTTCGTACCAAACTTCCCTATCTATCCCTGCCTCTATATATCTTCATATCATATATTGCCCTTAGCTTAGCTTGACCTCAATTCAAATAATGCCAACTCCAAGTGAAGCTCCAACCATAGTTGCAGAAAACCCTTCCCATAACTTCCCCTTCATCATGTCCTCATATCCCATTACTCTTAAGGTAACCCTCTTTCCATCTTCGATCGATCAGTCTCACGTCTATGTCACTAGACTATTTGCGAGTTATGAGTCGGGCCTGAATGAATTGGAGTTATATGTAATAATTGACTTAATTGATTTGAAGTTGAGTTCGTTGGTTAGTAATGTTTTTTTTATTTATGCAGTTCGTGGATGTGAGCTATAGGGTAAAATTGGAAAGTAACGGGTCGAAGGGAGGGAGTTTGAAGCGGATGTTTTCTGTCGGGCCCACTTCCTCTGATCTTGAGAATTCAATGGCTCAGATTCGGGAGCGTAGTATTTTGAGTGGGATTACCGGGATGGTTTCTCCCGGAGAGATCCTAGCCATTCTCGGGCCGTCCGGGAGCGGGAAATCGACGCTCCTGAATGCGCTTGCAGGGAGGATAAATGGTCACGCCTTCACCGGAACAATCCTCGCCAACAACAAGAAATTCAGCAAACCGGTCCTGAAACGAACCGGGTTCGTCACCCAGGACGATATCCTCTACCCGCACTTGACGGTTCGGGAGACGCTGGTCTTCTGCGCGCGGCTGAGGCTCCCCGCGTCGCTCACCACGAAAGAGAAAACCGCGGTGGCCGACGCCGTGATCGCCGAGCTGGGTCTGATGAAATGCGAGAACACCATCATCGGAAACACCTTCATTCGGGGCGTCTCCGGCGGGGAGCGGAAGCGGGTGAGCATAGCGCACGAGATGCTAATAAACCCGAGTCTACTAATCCTCGACGAGCCGACGTCCGGTCTGGACTCGACCGCCGCTCACCGCCTCGTCTCCACCTTGGGCTCCCTGGCTCAGAAGGGCAAAACCGTAGTCACGTCGGTTCACCAACCGTCGAGCCGGGTTTTCCAGATGTTTAGCTCGGTTCTGGTTTTGTCCGAAGGAAGGTGCTTGTATTTCGGTAAAGCCAACGAAGCAATGTCATATTTCGAGTCGGTCGGATTCTCTCCTTCGTTTCCCATGAACCCGGCCGATTTCCTCCTCGACCTCGCTAATGGTACGCACCTAATTAATCCCCTTCTCATCTTCACTATGCTCATTTTATTTTAACTTGCCAATTTTTGTTTTCTTATCCAAAAAGGCGAAATCCCTAGTCCTGGGCCCACATGTTGCCCTAATAGGTTTTGTAGATGTCGTAAATCATGGTAACACAATGGTCAATTGTCATATTTCGAGTCTAAAAATTGTATTTGCAGTTTAGTTAATAATTTTTGTACATGTAAATAAATTGATGACACATACACATAACATGATAATTACAGACACATAAATTATTAACTGCAGGTATAAAATATATTAACTGCAGACACATAACACATAACACATAAGATGTTGGTTAACATGTTATGTGTCTGCCGTTAACATATTTTGTACATGCATTTAATGACTTATGTGTCTATAGTTATCATGTTATGTGTCTGAAATTACCAAGTAATTTACCTTCAATTTGTTATACGTACATATATGATTAACTATAAGTACATAATTGGGGTTATTTTTAGAGTAGAGTCCATAATGCAAGTTAAGGTAACCATGATTCATGGTATAACTTACCCACAATGGTATATAGGTCGAAGGACTAGTGTTTGATCAATGAACGCAATAATATATTTTTACGTATAGGAATTCTTATAATTTAAACATCAAGATCAGATCAGCCTAAAGTGTAATAATAAAAGTATCGTAAAAATTCTTTAAAAAGATAGTAAACACGTTTCTATAAAGTAAAATTAAGACGAAAAGTATCTAAAATACATTGTACGTAACTACATACGTAGTAATAATTATTTGCATAGCTATATATAAGTGTACCACAATAAATATACTATCGAGATTCTTTCTATATACGAAACGTATAAGATATTAATATGGCAAGCTTTTGCTGTGGTGTGATATTATCAGTTACAAAACTGAAAAAAAAAAAATCAATTTATGTCACATCTCAGGCTTAATTGTTATTATTAGTTTATATTTTTGGTCCTATAGAGTTGACTTGGTTGACAAGAATTTACTAGTAGTGTTGAATTTTGGCATATATGCATGGGCAACCAAAAACCACAACGTTAGGGCTGTTAATTTAACCCACTAAAGATTGGAACTTTCCCTTGAAAAGGGTCTGATCGATACTCGACTGAATTAATTTTACCTTAAAAAATTGATAATATATTAATTTATTACATATTTTACTATTTTTAGTATATGATATTGTTTTAAATCGACATAAAAAGCAACTTACACGACTTTGATCCTGGTCATTATGGTCCTCAGATGTTGGTGGTGGGGGTGGTGGCAGTGAAATGAATTTATTGTACATATAGCTGAGAATGGGAAAGCATGGACCAAAGGGCAAAGAAATGATTTTATATAAATTGAGCATGGCTTTGCTAGCTAGGTCCAACAATAATATATAAAATAATACTTTTTCAACATGGCATTTTAGGATTATCTGATCAGCACGACATAGAATATATATGTTAAGGATACGTGACTTTGTAGGTGTTTAATGTAAGACACATGTGAGCTTAGAAAATTAAGAAAGGATTATTGGAATTTGTTTTTGTGGTGGCGGTGAGTTGTTTAAGGAGATTGGAAAAGTGGGTTTCTTTATGTGGGGAAAAGAAGATGGTGGATAGAATTTGATTACTTACGTACACATCTTTGAATCGAAATTGGGTGGGGAAATACTATTAGTGGATACTATAAAATTCAATTTTAGCACCCCACGTGTCCTTTTAGCTTTCCACATATAATGCTAATTAGGGCTATAAATAAGTCGAATTAAATTTGGATTTAGATTGGCTCGAGCTGGAGCTCGATAAATAATAAGTTGGTTTGAGTTTGAATTCAGCATAGTTATAAAACAGGTCAGCTCGAGCTCGAATTCAGCTCGGTTATAAAATAGGCCAGCTCGAGCTCAAACTCAGTTCGGTTATATAACAGGTCAGCTCGAACTCGAGCCGAGCTTTAACTGAACGGCTTGCGATATGTAACATAAGTTTGTGGGATTGCAAGACTTAAATGGCTAAATTTATTAGAGAAATAATTAATTACTTAGCTATTCATTAGGTTGGTTGAAAACACCCATGACTTTTCTCAATTAATGTGAATAAAATATGCAATTTTATACTTTATTGAGGTCAAAAGTAGCATTTGGATGTATACTATATAGTCTGCATTCCAAATTTCTAATGAGAAAATATAAAAACGTGGGACCCAACCATGTCTTAATGACTACAAAGAATGATTACAATTATTTGAAAAGCACACTATGATATAAACTAGAGTCTTACATACTACTATTGAATTGGGAATCTAACTAATAAAGTTTGAGGAGAAAAAAAGGTGCATTTTAATGAGTTTGAGTTTTGACTCTTAGCTTCATTCATGAATGTTTTAGAAAGTGACATCTTATGGTTCTCCCTAGCATGATAAGAGGATCTATACACCTATGATAATATATAATATTATATTATATATCTTGGATTTGTGCACTTGGTATGGTGCACCTTCCTTCTCCCACCTCTCTTATGATTCAACACCTTTGAGATGTGCCATCACTAAGGATGGATGATAGTTGATTGTTGAGACAATATATATCTATATATATAGTTAATGAATGTCCCATTCTTTGTCTAGGAGTGTGGGTAGTCCGGGTGCCAAGAACATACTTTCTTAATTAAGAGCATCAATTTAAATATTAAGAAATAGTGTTGTGAAGCATTAAGTTTTATATTCACTATACGGAAAGAAAGTACAATAAAAATCATAGTATCAGACATATGCTTTCTAGAGCTATAGGTAGTCATTAGGTACTATAAAATTCTGTATCTTTTAACTATTTTTTATGAGATGATAAAAGCATCTCTCACCCCCGGCCTTTTATAATTTAACACATTTGAGATGTGCCATTACTAGGGATGGATAATGAGTTGATTGTCGCATGCATTCGTTGTCTAGGAGTGTGATCGAGGATTACGAGTGTTAGGAATTTGATAACAGATTTAAGATTGTCAATTTGAATCTTAGGAAATTAAACTTTTATAATACTTGTAAGTATTAGCCTTTATATTTGGTAAACTAAGGAAAAAACAATACTACGTTGATTACTTTGTAAACCTCTTAACTAATTTGATGCAATATAATCTTGTACATATGTAGACCGGTTTGGTTGTTTTTTCTTGCTAATTCCATGATTAATTCTTGGTTTCTATCCTTATCACACAGAATAGTAACGTGGGAAATGTCATTAGTCCAGGATTACCATAATGGTAGAGGAATAATGCACTATAACTTTTTTTTTTCTACTTTTGTCCAAGGTGATTACACATGTCCAAACCTAAAAGGGCACTAATAAATTAAACATAAGAAAATAACATGTTTGGTTTCTTGATTTGTCATTGGATGTACTGTATGATGACTATTAGGATTAAGAGTGAAGTGACAACATTGCTTGCGTATGATAGCATGAGAAGTTGAGTGCTTCTAAAAAAACCATTTTCATATGATATGATGATATCAATGACAAATCATCAATAAATTACTTATTGGTGATTATTTTTTGGTCACATGACACTAAATCGGGCTAGATAAGAATGCTAACATGAATAGGGATGATACTAAGGGGTGACCACGGTTCTAGTTCCGGTTTGGTTCCGGTTCCGTGGATGGCGAAATCGGAACCGGAACTTCATAGTAAGGTTCCGGTTCCGGTTCAGAACCGGCGGTTCCGGTTGGAACTTCCGGTTCTAACCGGAATTATTAAAAAAAAATAAAAATAACACTATAATTTTGAGTTTTTTCGGTTTGGAACCGGAACCGCCGGTTCCGGTTTCAAGATTTTACAAACCTTAACCGGAACTAGAACCGTACGGACGGTTCCGGTTCGCACAGTCACGGTCGGTTCGAACCGGAACCGTGGTCATCTCTAGATGATAGTGAGTCAATTTTCAATCTTCTCAAATTCTGATAAGACAGGTTCTGTAAATCAAAAACTACCATCACTGATTTGACTAGTACTGACCAGTACTCAATATAATGTCCGATTGATGTACTTAAATTTGAGTTTAAGAATGACTAAATAGACAAATTTAAGAATGACTAAATAGATCAGAATTCTACCCATTATGACAATTAGTCATGCCCCCACGTGCCCTAATATGTAGAATCATATAAGTTAGATTATATGAGTTGTAAAGTTAGGTTTTTTTGGTTATGAAATTGGGTGTAGTGGGTTGAGGGGAACAAATGTATCTATAGACTGACAAGCTGCGCTGTGCAACATTCTATCGTAATCTACACATGTCAATAGGCCATAATATTGCTACATATATACTACAACTTCTTGAATAGTTAATATAAATAGCATATCTTATACACATATGGTTGGTCCAAAAACAATGTTTTCTTCCATTTATGCATTTTCCTCCTTTCAACTCCATCATCTTCTTCCACACCGGCCTTCTCACTTTATGAGTCTGCAACTTTTTTCAAGCACCGCCACGTGTTAACTAGCAAATCAATGCCATTCAATTCACCCATCCAATAATTGAAAATTCTTGCTTTTTGTGGGGTTTGAATAGTATTTTTCAGAAAGTGGGAGATGTATGTTGATGATGGTGCAGTGGCCCCTAGACTTCCATCAGCAGCAAAGAAATAGAAAGTAATGACAACCCTTTTGGGTTTTAATGCTATATATAGATATCAATCTTAACTCGAAATTGTTCGTCAGATAAGACTGGAAAAATATTAATAGATTAAAATTTTTAAAATAATAGCTTGATAAGAAAATCAGATTATTATGTTAGTCTTATCGAGTTATTGGCCTAGCCTACTAGGTTATGAGCGTGCTAACTGACTATAATTGTTTGTTATTTCTGTTGTTGCTTTTTGTTAGTTGTTTACTACTATTTACTGGGTCGAAAATAATAGTTTAGTATAAAAATAAAAATAAATAAAATTAGGGCACTATATATGTTTTTTAGTGGACTCTCAGCTTTGCCACCAACATTGGACAGCTTTAATTAGCTCTTCAAGAACATGCGTCTATACACGGCTAGGGCAACTTTAGTTTATTCTTTTGACAATTTTAATGAGAATAATATTAATTTAAGTAAGCACACTGGGGGAAATAGATATATATTGACGTTAGTGGATATATGACTATTTCATTTTAATTAATTAATATATAATATAATATCAATAACTTTACAAAAAATTAAATATCCTTGAGATCTAGATATATATATATATATATATATATATATATATATATATATATATATATATATATATATATATATATATATATATTTTTTTTTTTATAGCCCATTTTTATTATAAATGATGATTTGGGCAAATGGTAGTTTTAACAATTTGGAAAACCAGATTAAGATTAGATTAAGCTAAGGTTTCGTTGGTATAAGTATATCTTTGATTCCTCAAGTTCATTAACAAGATTTGACTCTAATAGCTAGAATTAAGTGAATACTTACAACTTATCAAATTATTTTGACTTTACAATGTCACATTCTTGTCAATGGAAATTAAATGGGAATTATTTTTGGAACACTTACACCTACAGCCTAAGAGTGTGTACTAGGTAAACTCCTGCCTTGTGACCCGAGCCAGCGAACTAACATAGGTTGTCCATAGCTGACTTATATATAATTCAAATTGAAGAAAATTAGTTGGTCATTCATACTAAACGTCGAACTTAGAACATTGTAGTTATCAAACAACGAACTTTGCAGCTAATACTTAATCACTTATCATATATGCATGAAATTAAAAGGGAATTATGTTTGGGAAACGTACACCCACTACCTAAGAATGTGTACTAGGTAAGCTCCCGCTTTCTGACTCTAGCGGGCGAACTAGCATAGGTTGTCCATAACTGACTGATGATTCAAATCGAAAAAGATCAATTTATCACTCATACTAAGAGTCCAACTTAGAATATTCAGTTACCAAACAACCAACTTATAGCTAACACTTTTGATATATGCAGGAGTTTGCCAGGTTGATGGTGTGAGTGAAAGGGAGAGGCCAAATGTGAAGCAAACCTTAATCTCCTCGTACAACACATTGTTAGCTCCAAAGGTAAAAGACGCATTATGTTTGGAGACGACAACAAGTGCACCCAAAGAAGCAATTTTGAGCATTAATGGAGCCACCCATAATAATCCTCCATGCAACAACAATGGCGGCGGCTTCTCTAGTTTCTTGAACCAGCTCACCATTCTCCTCCAAAGAGGCCTGAAAGAGCGGCGGCACGAGACGTTCAACTCCCTCCGCGTCTTCCAGGTGGTGGCGGCCGCCCTCCTCGCCGGCGCCATGTGGTGGCACTCCGACTACCTCGACGTCCAAGACCGCCTCGGCCTCCTCTTCTTCATCTCCATCTTCTGGGGCGTCTTCCCCTCCTTCAACGCCGCCTTCGCCTTCTCCCAAGACCGCGCCGTCTTCCTCAAGGAGAGGGCCTCCGGCATGTACAATCTCCCCTCCTATTTCCTCGCTCGCGTCGCCGGTGACCTCCCCATGGAGCTCATCCTCCCCACCTTATTCCTCTCCATCTTATACTGGATGTCGGGCCTAAAACCCGACATCCTCGCCTTCCTGGAAACCTTGATGATCGTGTTGGGCTATGTTGTCGTGTCTCAAGGCCTCGGTTTGGCCCTCGGGGCCATAATCATGGACGCTAAACAGGCCTCAACGGTGGTCACCGTCACCATGCTGGCGTTTGTCCTAACCGGCGGGTTTTACGTCCACAAAGTCCCATCTTTCCTAGGTTGGATCAAATACATTTCCACCACGTTTTATAGTTACAAACTTCTTGTCTTTGTCCAGTATGGGGATGGCAATGGGATCTCCTCTTTGCTCAAATGCTCATCTTCACTACGCCATGGAAGCTGCAAATTTGTTGAGCAAGATATTCAGGCCCAGATTCATCCCGCCACGAGCGTGGCTATCTTGCTTATAATGTTCTTTGGCTATAGGTTGATCGCTTATTTGGCTTTGAGGCGGTTTAATAAAGCCTAAAAATCATATGTTTATTATCACTGGATCTAAGCTTGCTTAATTAGCTTAATTAGCTTGCAGATCCATGGCTGACTTGATCTGAGGAACAAATTAAATTGGGTCACTGATTTACGTGGCTGCTGGCTAATTTGTGTAACTGTATTATAAATTAATTATAATGAAAGAGTAATTCCTTAATTAGTTTGTCTGTATGTTTCATATGTACTAGAGGGTACGTGATAGGTGTTGGACGAAGTGAAGTGGAGTAGAGTCCAACACCTATTTAGGTTATTATGTTGCATAACATGGAGTATGTTGGGTGCGGGACAGATTGTTTATAAATATGATGCTTTTAAGATGTTATAATATTACAATTAATAAAAGAACAGTTTCACTCCCTAGACTTAACCACATTGTTGAACCTAATAAATCTTATTTCTATATTTTCTGTCATTATTTTGTGTTTTTATTCTTGTTTATATATCCTGCAATTGCCAGTAAAACACAATTCTTAACTATTTTTTTATATTGAATAACCAATTGAATTGTGTTTAGAACCCATAATTACTGAATGGTAGGGTGGGAATGAATCTGAACGGTATTGCAGCATAGCATAAAAAATATGATGAATAAGACAATAATATAATGAACTTTTCCAAAAAGATCAGTGATAAAAGAAGTAGTCCATGTAATCATCATTATCAGCTCCTAGAAATCTTGTTCCACTAAATTATAATATCGACAAAATTAAACCCGTATTAGCCACTTTCAATGAGCATTAAGAAACAAAAAAGAGTGGATCATGTAGACATCCTCAGCACAAACAAATAATGTCGTTTTGCAAATCAGATTTCATCATAAATCCAACATCACCAATGTCTCTGAATTAAATATTCCTTTCTCATACTTCTATATATAGAAAATACTCCCCAATCCCCACAAGATAGTAAAGATAAATTACGATGACTCAGTAATTCAACACTAACACTGTAATTGTTATGACTCGATCCATTTAGTGTAACTCTAACATTGCAACTGTCATGACTCGATCCATTTAGTGTAACTCTAACATTGCAACTGTCATGACTCGATCCATTTAGTGTAACTCTAACATTGCAACTGTCATGACTCGATCTTATATCATTACTCATAATTGAAGCCTAAGCCCTTTGGTGGCTCTGATACCAGTATATGTTCCATTTGAACTAAAAACCTAAGTTGATAGTTGGATTGCACATTTATGTTTATATGTATTATATGCTCAATACTTATAATTTATAAACTAATAATCAATTGAACTGTCCATGCGGACACAACATGTGTGGCAAATTATGCTATGCGCACGTGCGCACCTTGCAAGGTGCGCACGGCGCTAAAACGACGTCGTTTTCCGTGAAAACGACGCTGTTTTAATTAAAAAAAAATTGTTTGAAACGCCGTTAACGGCGTTAACGGCATATTCGTTATGAAATTATGAATATACAGTTATGACATTATGAATGTACAGTTATAGAATTATGAATGTATAGTTATGGAATTATGAACTTACAATTATGAACATAGAGCTTCGAAAATTATGAATGTTCGGTATGGAATTATGAATATACAGTATGGAATTATGAATGTACAGTTATGGAATTATGAATGTACAGTTATGAAATTATGAACATAGAACTCTGACATTATGAACTTACAATTATGAACATAGAGCTTCGAAAATTATGAATTTACAGTTATTGAATTATGAATGTACAGTTACGGAATTATGAATGTACAGTTATAGAATTATGAATGTACAGTTATGGAATTATGAATGTACAGTTATGAAATTATGAACACAAAACTGTGAATATATGCTCCTATAACGAAGCGGTCTGAAATTAAATTTAAAAAAAAAAAAAAAAAAAAAAAAGAGGGAAGATAACGGTGCCTGACGTCACCGTTATCCGTGCGCATGAAGCACGCTGGGCACGAGCCCACAGCATAACTATCCAACATGTGCTTTGCTTACATGGTCATCATTTGGGCAAGCGAAGCTCGATTCATGGTGGATCGAGATTGTTCGAATAAGTTGGATCAAGATTAGAGACCAATCCAATAAGCTTTTGACTGAGTGACTGACTTTATTCATTCCACAACTGATATGTTCATCGGGGCATATAGGATCAAGCAAAAACATTAACATCGCATTTGGTTAGAAAGAGGAACTAATAAGAGGATAAAATATTGTAATTTAATAGATAAAGAATAGGCCAGGCCTCTGGTAGGGACCTATGTCCTAGATTAATTAGGGTCTAATTAGGCCTAATTTTTGTTTAGTAAAAAGACTAGATTTAGACCAATTTCAAAATATATTAAACTAAATAGGACAGACCTATATATACTAGGCTCGGCCTTCGGGTCTACAGGCCTGACCTATTTATATATATACACACATACATAAATACATGGATATATATTTTTATATTTACAATATAACTCCAATTATATATAATTACCAAACCCTAATCCTCCACCTCCAATCCAAAATCTCATTCTAAATTATGATTCAACTATAAACATTGTTGCTAATCATGCTATAAGTGTTCTTATTGTTTAATTTTTTATTAATTGTTCTTATTGTTATAATATTTAATGAAATGTCGTAACTTAATTATGTGAGTTGATTGTTAACTTTTTATGAGATTATATAGATCGACAAACAATAATACAATTGAATTTATTTCTAAACAAGTTAACGAGCATGTTGAAGTCGTGACTTGTTTTATTTATTTTATATTTTATTGTTATTATGTTTGCATTGTGGTGATATACTTATGTAGTTATGTATTAGTTTTGTAGTAGGTATATTTCTTAAATTAATTTGATATACTTATTAAAGTTTTTAAAAACTCTTAACAGTTTTTAAATAGGTTCAAAGTAGGACTTAATTTGAAGCATTTTTTAATGACCTAAATATTAAACAAGCTTTTAAAAAGGCCTTCAGGTCAGGCCAAGTCAATTGTAGGCTCAGGCTTGAGCCTAACAAAAAGTCTACATACAGGCTCAGGCCCAGGCCCAGACCTAGACTTTTGATTTTCGTAATAGGCCCAGGCATAATTTTCTAAAGTTCGGCTTAGTTCAACCTATTTCCATCCCTATTTGGTATGCAAGAATAGAATTAGTGAGAATTGAAATGGAAGAAATGATATAAAAACGAAAATGCCATTGTATAATAATAATAATAATAATAATAATAATAATAATAATAATAATAATCTAAGTGACTTTAGTTTGTAGACCATGTCGTTTTGATGCTAAAAAAAATTCCTTGCACCGCGCGCGTGTTAGAATAATGTATAGTATGTGTAGAACACGGTCCAAAAACATATAAAGTACATTATTCTATCTAAGTTCTAACACGAGCGCGGTGCAAGGTGGTTTTGTTTTGCCCAAAAAAAAAAAAAAAAGAAAAAAAAAGAAAAAAAAAAGAAAAAAGAACTATGCCAATCAATGATTTAGAATTGTCATTAAAAGCCCAATTAGTTGTATTTGTTCAAAATTAATATTATAGATCAATTTCAATCTGTACATGTGAATAATTCAATTTTTTTAGAAATATTTTTTTAAACCATTTTTTTAGAAATATAATGTAGCAAACAGAAAGAAAATAAAATCAAACAACCCATCAATGAGTGCAAATTATGTTGTGCAACCAAATGCACCATGTGCATGGTGCATTCGATGCAAGACGACGTCGTTTTGGTTAAAAAACGCGCGTCTCACTTAAAGAAGAAATCAGGTTCGATTCTCGGCAATAACATTTTTATATATCCATAAATTCATAACTATATATCCACAAATTCATAACTATATATCCACAGTGAATGAATGAAGTAAAATTCCACAATGAATGAACTAAATATCCATAAATTCATAACTATATATCCATAAATTCATAACTATATATCCACAGTGAATGAATGAAGTAAATATCTACAATGAATGAACTAAATATCCATAAATTCATAACTATATATCCACAAATTCATAACTATATATCCAGAAATTCATAACTATATATCCACAATAATGTTATTGTCGAAAATCGAACCTGATTTTTTTTTTTAAAGTAGAACGCGCGTTTTTAGTCAAAACAACGTTGTTTTGCATCGTATGCACCATGCGCATGGTGCATTCGGTTGAACAGCATAACTATTGATCAATGAGCACGACGGTTGAACATAAAATCTAATAAATGCTTATTTCAATTATTATGGGTCTAGCCCAGGCAAAAGATTACGTGGTCGACCTCTATAATCATATGAAATATCATGTGCCTGACCCATACACATGAGAAGGGCAAATTATATCGTGCACTGTGGTGTATAATTTATTATGCACCGAGCTTCTAAACGATGTTGTTTTGTTTAATAAAAAGAAACAGTACCTGGTTTGTGGCGTTATTCAGTTTCATTTTGTATACATTGCAGTTTCATTTCAACACAACTACAGTTTCATTTCGATATAACTATAGTTTCATTCGATATTTATACACTCAAATATGTGAAAATGTTATTTAATTTTATTTTATATACACTATAGTTTCATTAAAACACAACTACATTATCATTTCGATATAACTACAGTTTCTTTGCACAATATACACTCAAATATGTGAAATGGTATTCAGTTTCATTTTATATACACTTCAGTTTCATTTCAATTCAATTGCAGTTTCATTTGATAATATAAATACGTGAGGCATTGTCAGTTTAGATACACTGTAGTTTCAGTTGGTAATTAATACACCAAACATAGCGCTCCGTTAATTGTAACAGCACACCGTTTCTTTACTTAAAGAAATGACGCCGTTTTTAGACCGCGATCCACAGTATAATTGCTGCCAAGAAGACATTTTGAGTATAATATATATAATTAATAAACGTGAAATCCAACTATCAACTCAATCATTCTTCCCAAACTTAATCCCTATGACCAACTTATCGAGCTGCCCATGCGTATGGGCAAGTATCAACTTAATCATGTTGAAGTGAAGCATATCCTTAATTCAATTCAGTCAACAAATTACAAAAATATACAACCTATTCATAAAATATCATTTAAATAAGACCTCAATTAAGGTTAATATATTTCATCCTTTCAAAAAAAAAAAAGGTTAATATATTTCATAAAAAATTAATATTTTATAATTAAAACGC